TCGTAGTTGCGGTTAGTTTGAACGGGTTACTTCGCAGTACTCTGCCTGAAATGTACGTGCCGCTATTACGTGTAAGTGGTCGACAGAAGATACATACAGCGCCATTAGTTCTAAATGAATTTTTGCATCATACTGTTTTCAAACCAAAGCGTGTAATAATAATTGTAGGGGTTCAACGTCACAAATCCCACCATATAATCATGAGAGACGCCGTAATGGAGGGCTCCGGAAATATATGCACACGACCCTAAAGCATTTTCAACTCCATATAAAATGCGGCAGCCACAGTCGGGAGCCCCTTAGCCACTAGAGCACCACCTTTTGCTGAACGTTTTCCAAGGACTCGATTGTCTTGTTGACGACGTCTTCAGTGATTTGCGTGCCCGAATCGCCATTTCCAGGAATTTCCAGTGCCGCCATCTATAACAGAAAGCATACATCTCCGATACCAAAGCAAGGGCAAGATATTCAAATGGTGCAAGCGTAAGTCCACACAAAGAAGGATGAAAGGCCAACTCACCAGACTGTGCAAGAGGCCCCTCCACAAACAGAAGGCTAGGAAGAGTATCAAACCCTCTAGCAAAAAGCAATAACTTAAACCGAGAAATACACCCTTCACCAGATTCAGCGATCGCGCAGGTTTTTAAAACATAACTTGAGACAAATCTGCAGACAAACTAAACTATTGCCAACATGAGTCATGCGTCTAGCAATACATTGCTTCAATAAGCTCCCCAAGCTGCGCAAATTAAAAAAAAAAAAACGGCGTGTCAGTTAGCCCACCTACTTTTTTGAAAACTTTGGACATGCGCAGCCATTTTTCAAATTGATGCTGCTTATGCTTCTCCTATACAACTTCATCAATCTTTTTATGACTCATGATGGCATACCTGCAATGCACTCACCCAATTCCACAAAACAACGAAGCAGCCACAAAACATTCCTCACTGGAGGGCTATATGTTATTTGAAGACCAGCCTACTTTCTTTTTGAAATCCTCAAAGTATGTTACCCTTCTTGTTAAACCCCCTCTACAATGGGAACATAATGTCCAGGTATCGAACCCAGAACCTTGTGTACAGCAATGAAGCACCCTACGACTGCTACCCCACAATGAGGTAGTACCGATGTAGCAAAGTGTGCAAGCTACAGCATTATTGTTAGCGAAGTCAGAGTTGGGCAAAGCTAAATTGACGAGAATCGGTGGCAATGTTTCTGGCCACAAGTGTGAGAGGCAACTACCGAGTTTACCTGTCCCCGCTAGGAACTGATCAGGTTTGCATCATCCAAGTCCTGTGTACTGGGAGCAGTTGACATTTGTGAAATTTGCAAGAGAAGTTATTTGCAATAATAAAGAAATAAAATGGATGCTCACCTCAAGAGCACACATCCCAAACGAGTATATGTCAGCGGCAGGCGTTACGACAGGCGCAGCTGGAGAAAAAAAAATAATGCTTAGCATCTAAGAAATTAATTAAGAAATAGAACTGCACTAAGCTAAGCTAGAATAGCTTGAGACTCAAAAGAGTCCCACAAGTGACCCTCAACAACAAAGGGTCAAATGAGAGAAAAAGAAAACGAGTGATGAAAAAAAAAAAAAAGAAGATCAAGGAATAGGACGTTACCACCCAGAAGAAGAAAAGGGAAGAGAAGAAAAAGCGGCACAGTGCCAGACACGTACTCAACTTACTTCCGTACTCAGGTGCCACGAAATGAACATTCTTGATGTTTTCCCGAAACGTTTTGACATGGTGGTTGATGGCATCAGGTGCCACTGAAATGACAAGAGGGAGTTTTCAAAATGACAATCACGCCAGACTAAAGCAAAACCATGCCTACAAGACACATCAGAAGCCATTCCACTGCAGTAGTGGTGCCACATGAGCACACATGAGCACACTTGATCAGGACTGATCGGTTCGGTTTCTCGGTTGCGACGAATGGACGCTGCTACATGATCTACAGTAATCCGATAGAGTTGGGCACAGACGTCAGCCAAATTGCATCGAATAAATAATGACGGTGAAGAAACTATGCAAAATATGGGGCAAAAGAAATCATAAATCAATAGCATATCAGGTACCATTGACACTTCCTGGGGCTTCTTTTGCCAAATGAGCCAAAACTAAACTTCTGTGTGTGCCCGAAACATGTAACAATTACAAGGCATGCCATAGTAAGAGGGCTCCAGACTCCAGACGCGGTCTAGGGGCCGACTTGCACCACCTTGAAGAGGGAGCAGGAGCAACCACAATCTGTTTCGTCGTGTGGCAAGCAAAACAACCAGTCATGGGTGATATGCAAAACTGCAACCCCCTCCCACTATCAAGGTGATTATGCAAGAGGCCAGCCACTCATCTTCCGCTCGTGAACTATGCTTGGTATCAGAGCGCACACAAAACGGGGAAGCTCTGCTGCGTGGATATCACACATCACACTTTGGCTAACTTAGAGTGGTTTAGGCGACAGCGGTGCACTCAGGTGAACTTTCTTTGCTGGTTTGCCCTGGTGAAGTCTCGCATCGCATGTCATGGAAAATATTCTGGGTAGAATCCCACTTCGCAGAGAATGTGTTGCCTGCCAATTCAAAACGTACTATACTATGTTTCACACACCAGGTGCAAGTTCAGCCAGCAAAACGTATCTCTGGTGCATCCTCGCGCGTCATTGAGCCCCTTTGGAGCGACTGGCAAACAAAAGAAAGCGGGGAAAGCACGAAGGAAGACTGGGTCCGACTCTGCGATATCCTCCCCTGCGCCGACACTGTGCGATGAAATAGAAAGTCTAGGTGGCCACCATCGCGACATACCCACAGCAGAGAGCCTGTACGCGACGCCACCTGTAAACCAAGGTATACAGCCGCGTACTAACAGATGTTACATGACGTTTTTGTTCGTAAGGCACAACATCACTTGAAGTTCACCGTATTAACGAATACGAAAATTCTGTTATTGGTGGCAAGAATAATAAACAATTGTTTGTTGCAAATGCATTGACTGCAAGAAGTGTCGCTAGCCTCGACGGCGTTGCGGATGGTCTACGAAACGAAGTATAGCATGTCGGGGCTCAATGCTCTTTAAGTCATGCACAGAGACTGCTGCTGGTGTTGCGATGAGAGCGCAAGACAGTACTGCGTAGCAAACAAGAGGTGGCCTCGCCCGTCTCCAGATCTAAGCATAATCGAAAACGTGTGGGCACTTTTGAAAAGTGTGCTGGCCAGCTGGTCATTACATAGACTGATCTCATTTGTGCGACAAGAAACGACATATTAAGCGTATAGCTCATCTATCCTTTTTTCCTCAGCTGGAGATGCAGACTAGTGTGGCGAAATGAAAATGAGCAGGAGTGCTTTTATCTCGTACCGATTATCTACTGCTTATTTGGCAACAGTTATGTGGTTACTTCTAAAACGTGGCACTCTGCTTTTCCGGTCTGATTGGTTTATGCGACAAATACTAGTATTTAAATTGTAGCTCATTTCAGAGCACATTTTAGACAACCTGCCATTGTTTTTTTCATGAAGTTTACATTGTTGTCTGTGAAGTATATGTCATAAGAAATATTGATTTTTACGAGATGCTTCAACAATGTTCCAAACTCCAATTAATGTGGGGAAAATTTAGTATCTGCTCCTAAAGCACCAACAGCTGTTCTAAACTAGCATTTTTTTTCCTGCTCTGAAAACACTTGAGCTGCCACAAAACAGTGCTTTTCCTGCTCCAAAAACGTGAAAAGTCGCTTCCATCACTGGAACCCCTACCAAGCGCAGCTTTGCAGCCGGCTGCACATCAATCATGACTGGTTGTTTTGCTTGCCACTAGGCGACATGAAAAGAGGCTGTGGTTGCTCCCACTCCCTCTTAAAGGTGCTGCAAGCAGCCGACGGGGCATGCGGGCTACGCATTCACGCGTCCCCTCCATAAAAATTGACAGCGTACGAAGTTGTTTTCGTATTCTATGCCCTTTTATTATTTTGTTGTCAGCGCTGGCTTGGACCCTTGGGGGAGTTGGGGGAGTCATAATTATAGTTTGGTTCATTTGCCTTTTTTTTTTTTTTGAAAACTGTCCTTACTACTTTCGCATTCAAAAACACTGCCACAACAGCAGTGAACACAGTTTTTGCAACCTGAAGGTACCACGTTCACGGTGTCTAAGCAAGAAAATAATGCGTGGTGTTTACATGCCTAAACCACAAAAATTGGGGTACCCTTATGCTTCGCCTTTAAGAGTTGAAGGCAATAGCAAAATCCGGCCCCTAGTGCATGCACCCTTGAACCGCTAAATGCATACTTACTCATATGTTTTGTTACATACACATGCACGCACACAAACACGCACACAGTAGATTGGACCTGCGCACGCTATTATCGCAGAATGGGCTCGTTTTCGTCGTGACACCTGTCGAACAAAATGCGTTAAAAGGGCAGTGAAACACTGCAATGCATTGGAATGAAACACTGGAATGCATTCACTAGAAGAGCTTATTTCCTCACGAATTCAACGCCGCAAAAATTTTAAGAATCCGTCCAGTGCGAGTGGAGTTGCAATGGTTTGTCGCATGCTGCAATTGCATTATCTCTTCTCTCGTCCCGACGAAAGCGCTGGAAGCTAGGCAGGGAGGGGTGGCAGGGCGAAGAAACTACCACGCTTCGCGACCTTGAGCACTTTTTTTTCTTTCTCAACGCGCGGCTTTTTCAGTGTGAACACGCGGGCACGTGTGGACAAGTAGCGACCTCCTGCGGCTATTTTGGTAACTTGATTTATCGGTCACAAATGCACAGATGATTTTTCGCTCACAACCAAAGGGGCGGCGCGTTTTCTGCGACACGAGCTCTCCAACGTTAATGCGTTAAAACAATATGAAAGATGCTGAAGCGGAGGGCTCTCGAAATTTTGACCATCTAGTGTCCTTTAACGTGCACCGACATTGCACAGCATATGGGCCTCTAGCATTTCGCTTCGAACGAGAGACGACCGCTGCGGCCGGGATTGGACCCGATGCCTTTAGAGTCGTGGCACCCAAGTACCTTGACCCGCATGGCCACGAAAACCAAGAAAAGGCACGCGAGATAGAATTGCTTATTTATTATTGTTGCAAGGCAGAAAGTACCTGAACGAGTGCAAGTGTGTTTTAAAAGCGCAGGACGTACAGCCAACATATCGGAACAGCCCCAGGAATTTGTGACAAACGCCGAGCCATCAGAGCACAGTAAATAGATAAAAAAGAAAAAGTGGTGGGGGGGGGGGCAACGCACCTGATCCAATTTTACAAGGCCATTGTGCTGGATGAAAATGGTGTCGCACGTCATGTTCCCGGTGCAGGATGGGTGGCAGACACGAGTGGAGGTAACTGTCGAGGAGGAACAGAAAAGGCACTGTTGAGGAAACTCCCGACACTTAGCGCCTCGGGTCGGCCACCGCAAAGAGTGCAGCACAACCGTCAGCCAAGGACGGGCAACAAATGTGGCGGCGGGCGACGGCTTCCCGCCGCCGCGCGTAAATATAGCATCAAATGCTGGGACCACACCTTAGTGCCGAGAGAATCTGGTTGCACCATCTCTTCCAGGCCTAAAACAAAAATTGCAAAGGTGATGACGCGTGCCAGCGACACGACACAATCCATACGTTGAGCACAGCGGTAGGCAGAAACAACTTTCGCTGCCAAGAGGTGGCGTGCATGGAGACTGAGCTACATGCCACCCTGCACACTAGTTTCTCTCCAGCCGACAGAGGGGGAAAAAAGAGGGAGAAATTTCGCAAAGCAGGAATTTATGGGCTACAGAACAAGTTGACAAGTGAGCTGCCCCCCACTAAGGGCCAAGGCCTACTATGAAGATCACCAATTCTATTCAACAGAAAGATGTGGGAGCCGCGCCACTGACTAAAGGCACCTATGGCCAACAAGAAACGAGACCATGTAGGTCAGTCTCCAGCAAAAGCAAGGATGGCAGACTGATTTGCAGTCAAAATGGGTGCAATAATATAAAACTAACTTCTCCAATTCTTCAAGTGGTGGCAATATATACAGTACAGTAAGGTTTTGCACTCTAGGTACCGACGTTTCCAGATATTCAAAGTTGTTAAAGCCGATTTGCTCCTGTAGTCCTTTTTTTTTTTTAAAAGGTGAATCTGCAGTGCCACACACATAGGATGAACACAGAAATGCTCAAGTAAAAGCTGTAGAGTTTTTCAACAAGAGCTTCAAATGGAGCCTAATCATTTTGCACATTGTGCAAGTTTTTACTCTATTGAAACATCCTGTGACTTTTCATTACACTGCTTTAAGATAACAAACACTTGGTGCCACCAGCATGCAAAACAAGCATGGAGATATTGACTGGTAGTGTGCACAATGCAAGTGAGTGGGACCACGATACATTTACTGAAGTACGCTACTTTGAATTTTGCATCAATATCTAGGCAAAGCAACCGTACATCTAGATGTAGATGCAGAATTACCATACCATAGATTTCACACCCATGCATTTATGTGATTATGCTGTATACAAACAAGCTCTTTGATCAATTAAGAGCAATATAATCAACCAATTGACCTTTTTGTTATGCACTACACGGCAATATGGGGACTTTACCGATAGAAAGTTTTAGGTGAGCATTGCCGTCTGCTTCATTCAAAATTCATGTGCTGATACACTGTAGCCAATTAAATACATCTCGCATTTCTGAAAATGTACCTGGAGAGGCATGCTCGACTTGGCTACAGAACAGAGAAGCCATACCGTACAGAATATGGAATTCTGTGCACGTGCAACAATGATTCCAATAGGACAGCTATTGCCAGTACACAAGTCTAAATCGAGCAGACTGATTGCTCAGCTAAAGCTTTGCCCAATTAACTGGGCAATACCAGAACCAATCTGATTTACGTACAGGAAACACTATGCCAGCCAAAATTATGCCAAACTTAATCACAAACATCTCAATGCTTGAGTAATTCTTCTTTTTTTTTTTTAAGTTATAAGAGAGACTTCAGTCCCATACTTACAGCATTATTTTAGTTGCGAGATTTACAGTCAAACAGCTTCGCACAAAAAAAAAATAACAAAGATAAACAGAATAAAAAATGTGGTTTTGCTACGAAATCAGGAAGCAGAATTATTGCCTGCGCTTTGCAATATACATAAGCATCCAATTAATAATGACATGCGAAGTCACAAGTAAGGCCTCAGCAAAACGGCAGTTCATCGTTCATCACCTTGGAAGAAAAAACTGGATGACATCGCACAATTTTATTTATGTTTTTATGATGCAGCAAATCGTGACTTTTCCAAATTCATTCTTAATGTAAAAATTTAAAAATTTTGAATGTGCATCTTTGAGAGAAAGCTGAGCAGAATAACAGAATCATAAGACATTACCCTACAGCCACACTAAAAAGTTTACGGACCATTAGATCTGAAAAAAAAAAAAAAAAACTGCCTAGCAGTTTACGATTAAAATTGGCAGAACTATATCACACAATATTGTCCAGCCTGAAAGTATGAATGTCACACGTTGCGTTCCAAGGCTGCAGCGATACAAAATTTCTCCGAAGTCCTGCAGTCTAAGCTTTACTAGGGTGACTGTATGCAAGAGGCTACCCACTGTACCCAATTCTGCAAGGAAATCTCAATGCTTAGACAAGCGAGTCCCAGCTATTCAAATATTAATTAAAAACTAAGCCGTGCCACACACACAATGGTAAATTAATACAGTTACCCGATTTTGGATAATATTGCTCAGACTATGAGTGCCAGTGCCTCGTAGCAAAAATTAGTCGAGCAAATGCAGTATAATAGCTTTGTTTGCTGAGTCTCATTAACTCTGACGTCTCCGTTTTTCTGTTACAGCCCATTCCTTCACAATTTAACTCTATGGATTCGAAAGATATATAAAATTCTACATTTACATTCTTATGTGCACCCACATTTATCTTTATAAAGAAATCATATGCACTTAAAAAAAAAGTAGCTTCCTTTCATTAACAATGCCCCAGCACACAATATATGTTCAAGTACTGAAAGCAAGATAGGCAACTTGGTCCTAGTAAGTTGCGAGATATTTGCAATATTGCTAAACACATTGGGCAACTGTATTGACATCAAAATTTCTGAGACAATGGGACGACAAAGAAACAATTACTGCATTTACACTTTGCATTTCACTGCACTGAAAGAGGCAAGCGACGCCTTCAAAGGGGTCCAGAAGGAACAGCTGAAAAGTGGAGATTAGTACTGAATCTTTCTTTTCCTAGCCGTTTTGAGGGCTCACTAATTTACCTTCAACCGACACATGCGCACACATGCATACACTGCAACAGAGCGTCGTGAAAATGTATTTCTGTGAAGCTACTTTGGTACCTGGCAAGTGGCTACATGATGACTCCTCTCACCTCATTCACGCGATTGCCAACCGAATGTCGCAACATACCCGGTTTTAACTGAACCTATACAAAAAAGCCCACACAACAAAAAGTCTATTCAGACGCTGTCTCGAATCTGCCGTTCTACAATACCTAATTAAGCTGCAGTGAAAGGTCGTCATCGCCACGTCGTCAGATTGTCCTTAAGTCTTATCTTTAATAACCGTTCCTAAGTGTTTAACCTCTCGTCAGTGCAATTTCAGTCTAGAGATTTGGCATATTCTCAACTCCTGCAGATTTTTCTGGGACCCCTCTTTCAGGCGCACTTTCAACGAGACAAGACAACAACGTAAAGAAGAACTGTGCTAGCGTCGGCATGTACCTGCAGGGGAAGCTTGATGACATTGCGTTTAGTTTTCTTCAGGAACTGCTTCAGTGACCCACTGGACATGTACTCGGTGATGAAAATGACTCGGGGCTTCTCCGAGTCCTTGTCCATCCAGTACTTGTGGATCTTGACTATGTTTGGATGCTCGAGCTGAGCCAAGCTGTCAAAGACCTCGCGTATTTTTCTCCTGCTAGAGAGATAAGTGCCAAATTTCAAAGTTGCACGAGCACCCTGGGAGGAAGAGCTGCCACTTTGGCTCTTGCTGCACATACTCAGGGGACCCACCTTAAGGGGGTTTTTCACTGCATTAAAATCTTATTATTCATCAATCTTATTCATCAATCTGCATCAATCTTATTAAGCCATTCGAGTTTACAAATATTTATGTACCAATTTCAAGTATGCAATTATTTTCTGTAGTGCAATATGCATTTATTTTATTTGATACATTTAACGAGCCCTTTGGGTAGCAAGCATTTTCATAAACAAAGAGTTACAAAGTAAATCGGCAGAACACAATAACTTGGAATCGGAACATCCATTTTTGTTGTAGTGCATGCAGTTGAGATTGCAGCTTATTGAGATATGCTGATCGACTTTGAAACTCAATTCTCTGCGATATCTACCCTTAGAAGGTTGCATGCATAGTTAAGGCGTTAGGTACATTTAAGTTGCCTGACAAGACAGATGTTCAAGGAAACATGGAAGGAGTAAAATGATTAAAAAGTCACGGAAGGAATAACGCTGAAGCCAAATTTTCGACAAGCAGGTTCGTATTGAACCAGGAAAGGCCGCTTTGTTGAAACACTGAATTCAGTAACATTCTTTATTCAACCATTGCTTACGACTTCTACTTACACAATGTGAAAGATACTCCCATTTAATACACATGGTCAGAAAATTTCTCGCTACAAATCCGTACTTTCACTTTCGCTTGCATAGGTTGCCCCTCAATGTCTTAACTGTCACTCCAGTTACATTACCTAAGCAATGTCATTCTGAAGGAAGACTAGGTTTGAAATGGCAAGCTTCATACTCTTCTTTTGCGACACGTTTAGGAAGCATTGCTCTTTGTCTTGGTGCTATGATACTATCAACGACACCAAGCCAACTGTTTCAAGTCCGTTTTTGATATCACGTGTAAAGGCTCGTTAAATGCTTCTTAGCTTCGACTCCTGCCAAACTGTAATGTCAAGCAATATTTAGTAGAGTTTCTATAGTTATACTCAACATACGCAAGTTAAGGTGGGCATATCCTGACAGGGTAACTTAGTGCAGAATTTCCAGCAAGGCTTCCCCACCTCTTTGGCTTTGAAATTTTTCCTCTCAGAGAACTTGACTTCGTTCCAGACAACCTCGACACCCTCCTCAGTGTCCATCGCAAGGTACGCGGCATCTATGCCTGGAATGTCTCGCTGTTGAACCTACAGGCAAGAACAACGAAAAAATTTTTAGACTTACATAAGCAAGACAGCCACTAAATGCGGCCCGGCCAGCAAGTAGACACATGGCAACACTGCAAACACGTGTTAAGTAAACGCCTGTTAGTAAATGGAGCAGTGCAGATATTGATTGATATGTGGGGTAACGTCCCAAAACCACCATATGATTATGAGAGACGCCGTAGTGGAGGGCTCCGGAAATTTCGACCACCTGGGGTTCTTTAACGTGCACCCAAATCTGAGCACACGGGCCTACAACATTTCCGCCTCCATCAGAAATGCAGCCGCCGCAGCCGGGATTCGAACCCGCGACCTGCGGGTCAGCAGCCGAGTACCTTAGCCACTAGACCACCGCGGCGGGGCAAGCAGTGCAGATATACCAATTTCAACTCTTCAGATTTTACACACAGTTTGCAACCGTTCCTAGAGGGAATTCCGGCACAACCTTCTTGCTCGTAGAAGTATAGCAGTTCAACCATTATGATTACAATAAGTAGAGCCCACGCATTTGGCTACAACTTTGGGTTTTTGTTTATGGGCAGTATTGAGACACTGCATAGTGGCAACAAAACCACGATCCTGCGAATGCTGGCGAGATTCACCCGTGTCAAAGTACTGTGCCACAAGTGCAACAATTATTCACAGGCTTGGGAACTTATTTGCCCACATGCTTTTGGAAAAACATGTTTTTAGCAAAGGTGGTGTTCAAAATCGCATTCCGGGGACAAGTATCTCTGTGGATAGCAAACGGATCACAAAAGCTACACTTGAATGACATGTTTTAGAAACTATTTTGGAACCTGCAACTAGTCGCATGCTGTACCATTTAGGTTGCCTCTTGTTCGGAATCTGTAGTCCCTTGAAGTGGGACAACCTTTGTCATTCTCATGGTCCAGCGACAAACTATAAATTGGCTAAGAATAGCTCCCAACGAAGCACGATTTTCCATGAGAAAATAGAGGCAGCATTACTTTCTGTGCTTTCATTGTACGTTCTTTTCACTACAAGAAATATACGACCCTAGAGAAAGAAAGTGATAAGCTGTGTGTCAAGCAATATAACATTATCTTCAACTAAATCATGGATCGCTAGATTTGGTAACCCTGAAACTGGTAGTCATATCTTAACAATAATCTTTTCCAAGGCACTTTTTCTGCCACAAACCAAACTACAGCCCCACTTGCTTTTGTATCAACAGTGGTACACAAGCTTTGTGCCCAGCCATCTAAACTTGATCTGCAAACTAAAGAGGACGGCATGAATGATGGATTTTTCATTTTTGGAAAGTTGATTTGATCCTGCAGTCCGTTGTTTTGAACAAAAACAGCCGACTATCCCCTCTGTCTGGTTTCTTTGTCCAGTCTTGGTCGTAAGGACGAAAATAGAGTTTTCGTTTAAACTGGAATTTCACAGCTTCTGTTTACCTTCGAGTATTTTCCTTCCTACATGAACCGCTATAAGAAACCATTTAGTTGTCACAAGCACAGCAGCACGAGCGGTTAGCTTCAGTCGTCAACAAAGTATAGTACAAAGAAGCAAGATTATGGGCAGCATACAGTTGGCATCAAGAGGTTAGAGACTACTTAGTCTCCAACCCATTTTGCGACTGCATTTGGATAAACTGCCCCACACATGTTAGAGCACTTTGCAACAAGCCATATACAGTGTTGCATAGAGAAGAAAAAGGAATATTCAGATATTTCCAGTGTCTCCTGGTTTGTAAGCTTTCTATGTTGACTGTACAATTGCACCACAGTGGAGGCAACAGCTGGCAATGTCCTAAACAGACAAAAAGAAAAAAAAAGAATGATCAAAGCCTTGATTGTTCCAAGTAAACATTACAAAATATTAAATATTTGTAAAACTTGTCTGGTATGACAGAAGCAGTGCAGATAGACACGTTTTGACAACCAAGTTAGAACTTCCATACACAATGCTGCCATGCTGTTTTTACCGAGATCTGAGTGGGAAATCTGCACAATTCATACACCCTCCCCTTCTTTATTTCTCAATGCTTTTCTTTCTTTGTCCAATATTGCGGTGAACATATTCACGTCCCAACAGTTCGTTTTTTTTTTCCTCTTTCTTCTCTTTCTGACAAATTACAAATGGGCTTTGCGGTGCTGTAAGCGGCCTAACAATGCGCAAGATCACGCAATGGAAGTTTTCCCGACACACTCATTTCGTGTTTTCAAAGATCGTCGCTGCAGGGGAAAAAACGAACAGAATGCGAACATCTCGTGCATGACGTCATCGCGAAACGGCCGCGACAGATAAAATAAACAAGCAAAACGACAAACATATCGAAGAGACGGGAAGCCACTACGGCTGAACAGCGTCGTCACGCGGCTGTCAAAACTCGTCACCCTCCTACGCACTTGTCCGAGCCGCGCCGCTTCGGCGGCGAATCCTTTGTAAACTTCCCTAGGGTGCCTGGCAAGCAACATTGCGCCTACTATCACTCCGGCAACTCGCGCAACCAATAAAGAAAACATATAGATCAACGTAAAAGGGCAACACCCGGGGCGTTTTCAATCCGATGGTCAGGGAGCGCCATCAGAAGGCCTGTTCTTGAAGAAAATTGCCAGAAATTAAGTCGCCAAGCGAACAGCGCTATTTATTGCACCGCCGAAGCTCTCGATTTGTCAAGACTACCAGTTGTCAGCGGCGCCCTACGCGACCCAATTCACGCCACTCTTCCTCGCCTGGGAAAAAAAAATTGATCGTGATAAACAAATGAATTATTCGAAGGTGCTACCTCTTCCCTCCGCTTGAGCCATCGGCCGCAAGGACTTTCTTCAAGGATCTCGCTTTCGTCTTCCGAATCGTCGCCGCTTACACGCTGTTCGTTGGATCCCTGAGGAATCTTGCAGTCTTTCGCGTCACCCATGGTAGCGCCGAGAGGCTTCGTGAAATTTCGATCATGCGGCACACATCGAATCGGGAGTATGTTACAACCTCGAACCTGATCGCGCTCTAACTATCGTCCCTCCCAAGCTTGTTCCATTGATGGCGATGCCAGCGCCGCCGCTCGTGCGACCAGAGAACCACAAACGTGTGGCATTTGAGCTACCCCTCTGCATGCCTCCGCCGCTTAGAGTTTCCCAAAGTTAACTAGAAAGCACTCTGGCGCTGCGATCGTTAGTGGCGCTAGCCACCGCCCAATCTAAAGGGTACTGCCATATCCATTCATCCATTCGTTCAGGGACCATGGGAGTGATCACGGATTCCTTCCTCCGTGAGAGTGATTGATGGGTAGTAGTAGTAGAGTGTACTAGAAGCTTTTGAGTGGCGCGAGCGGCCGCCTGGGACTGGGAGCGGCCGTTTCGGCGTGGAATGATGCGGTGGCGCTGGCGTCGACCAATCTACCCGGGCGGATGGCTGGCAGGCGTTCCGCGTACGTGTTGGTACCTCTCTGTCGCGCCAAGTGTGAAGATGATCTCCCTCTTTTTTTTCTTATTCACATACCTCCCCTTTTCCGCGCAAATAAACGTTATTTGACATTATTGTTATTGAAGTTGCTGCTGACCGCACTGCAGCCCGAAGCAGCATAGTACATTGTACACTATACCGAGCGCGTTTTTTTTAATTTTTAAAGTGTACATATTTTATACGAGAAACCAGCTGGCCGGTACACACCAGAAGCGCCCCCTCCCTCCCAAAAAAAGAAAAGGAATATGCTGCACACAAAACGAAGAACTCTTGGTCGATTGCACGTAAAACACCAAAGCTGGACTCAAATAAAAGGCTCGTTGCTTGTGGCTGCGTGCACACACGACAAAAAAGTAGGCTTTAATGATATTATTTGAAGAACAGCAGAGTTTTTCCAAACCTCTTTTTGGTTTTGAAATATGGGAATATATCATTGTTGTAGGACCCACAGAAATGCAAATACGTAATACTGCAGAAGAATGTCTTAGGTGAAACATAGTAGTCGAAGATTTTGAGAGTTTAAAAAACGCAACAATACTGCAAAGCAAAGTCGTGACTAATGATAATCTTAATTGATAATATAAGTATCCAAGGTTTACATATTTAAAAAACAATACATTTGGACTTAGGTAAATTGTAAAAAACGTAAAATATAGAGCCAGGATACAAAAGATAACATAAAACAAAGCAAACAAAACGACAGAGTTTAGGTTGTCTTTCCAAAATGCATTTAAATAAAAAAAATATGTTTTGGTCGAAACATCGTTTAAAGGGACACTGAAGTGTTACAATGAATTGGCTTAGATTAATTAATTATGCACCGAGATCCCTAATCGTCATTTTGCGTCATTTTGCGACTAAAACCGAGATGCCGGTCATGCCGCCGAGTCAGCCGAGTAAACCAAGTGGGTAGATTGGCGATGGCAGCGCCGCCGCTACTTTCGCCACAAGTTGGGGATGGAGAAAGCAAGGGGAAAGCGTTTCGGTCGCGCCACTCAAAAGTTCTAGTACACTCTAGTAGTAGAGTGTATTAGAACTAGAATCTCGGTTTTAGTCGCAAAATGACGAAGAAGCAGCGTCTAAACCATTGTTACGCGCCAGGTTGCACAACTGGATATCCACGTGTGCAACAAAGTCGGAAGTTATCGCTTTTTTAAGGCCCCCGAAAGACGAAGAACGACGACTTCTTTGGGAGCGGAACCTCCATCGGCTTGACAAGCCACTTGACGCCGATTGTGCTGTGTGCGAGTTACATTTCGAACCGCATTTCATTGTGAGAAACTACGTACATTTTATCAATGGTGTTCAAGTCCGAATTCCTAGGGGAACGCCGACAGTTGCCCCTGATGCAGTCCCGACGATCTTGCCCAACCTGCCTGCATATTTGACGCTCAAAACTCCGGCTCCGCGGACCCAAACAAAGCGGCGGCATCAGTGTGTGCCGGCTGAGAATGACAACAGAAAACGGCGACGCATTAGCACTCCTGCACAGCTCCTTGTGGATACCAACGGTGCAACTTCTTCAGATGGCGACGAAGCTGACGAGACAAGCTCAAGTCCCTCGTCTGACCGCGGTTGTCACTCTCGGTGACCTTCGTGGTCTTGTCCTACCATCAAAGTCATGAGCGCTGCACGAGTTTCCTGGATTTGATGGCGTGTCGTACTTAGGGTGCTCACTGAACCTCGTGAACACTCGTAGCACTCGTGAACTTTGCATTCAACGAGCCGAATACTTCACCTGTTTGAACAAGTCGCGGGATGAGAAACGAAGAAGCGCACAGCAGCACCTAAAATTGAGTAGGCTATAAAATGCTACAGTGGCGTAAAAAGGATGTCATTTTCGTGCATATTTTCTTACACACATAATTTTTGGACGGTACACCCAGAAGAAAAACAATTTTTCCTAGAAGAGGCTTGTAAGCGAGAGAACGTGCAAATAATGACGCGAAATCTCAAAATAAATCTTTGATCTTGAATCTTTTTGTATTAAACCTGTGATGGTAAATTTAGCAGCATTAGGGATCTCGTGCATAATTAATCAATCTAAGCCAATTCATTGTTACACTTCAGTGTCCCTTCAAACGATGTTTCGACCATAACATCTTTTTTTTTATTTAAATGCATTTTGGAAAGACAACCTAAACTCTGTCGTTTTGTTGCTTTGTTTTATGTTATCGTTTGTATCCTGGCTCTATATTTACGTTTTTTACAATTTACCTAAGTCCAAATGTATTGTTTTTTAAATATGTAAACCTTGCATTTTTATATTATTAATTAAGATTATCATTAGTTACGACTTTGCTTTGCAGTATTGTTGCGTTTTTTAAACTCTCAAAATCTTCGACTACTATGTTTCACCTAAGACATTCTTCTGCAGTATTACGTATTTGCATTTCTGTGGGTCCTAGAACAATGAATCTATTACCATATTTCAAAACCAAAAAGAGGTTTGGAAAAACTCTGCTGTTCTTCAAATAATATCATTAAAGCCTACTTTTTTGTCGTGTGTGCACGCAGCCACAAGCAACGAGCCTTTTATTTGAGTCCAGCTTTGGTGTTTACGTGCAATCGACCAAGAGTTCTTCGTTTTGTGTGCAGCATATTTCTTTTCTTTTTTTTTTTGTAGGGGGGGCGCTTCTGGTGTGTACCGGCCAGCTGGTTTCTCGTATAAAATATGTACACTTTAAAAATTAAAAAAAAAAACGCGCTCGTTATATTGTACGATGTACTATGCTGCTTCGGGCTGCAGTGCGGTCAGCAGCAACTTCAATAACAATAATGTCAAATAACGTTTATTGCGCGGAAAAGGGGAGGTATGTGAATAAGAAAAAAAGAGGGGGATCATCTTCACACTTGGCGCGACAGAGAGGTACCAACACGTACGCGGAACGCCTGCCAGCCATCCGCCCGGGTAGATTGGTCGACGCCAGCGCCCACCGCAGCATTCCACGCCGAAACGGCCGTTCCCAGGCAGCCGCTCGCGCCACTCAAAAGCTTCTAGTACACTCTAGTAGTATAGAAAATTGAAATTGCTCCAGCCACAGTTCAAAAAGAGCCCGACGTTTCGAGACCGACTCGGTCCCTTCCTCAGGGGGTGAGAGTCACCCCCTGAGGAAGGGACCGAGTCGGTCTCGAAACGTCGGGCTCTTTTGAACTGTGGCTGGAGCAATTTCAATTTTCTAAAACTTTTCTACCCAGCCAGACAGATTGCTGTCAAAATGTTTACGTTTAACTCTAGTAGTAGTGTAGACTGTGTAGTACACACATTTGCCTAGTCTTCGTACTTGCGGGCGGCGAATCGTACTTGCGGCTTTGTTTATTACTGGTTACGGTTTTGTTTGAAAGAAAGAACTAACCCTTTTGAACTTAGGGACTTGATTCAAATAGTAAGCTTAAAAGAATAAGGTTGTGAAGCGCAAACGGTGAACAGTTGCTAATTTATGTTTTCGTGAAAAATGACTCCAAGCCACATGAACACACACGGAGCCAGAAGCAGGCCAGACGTACGAAAATTAGACAAATGTGTGTACTACCCATCATTCCCATGCTCGCTGAAGCACCGGGGAACTCTGAAGCGCCAGAGTTCCCTCTAGTAAGAATTGTGGGAAGTTCTATGCTCCGCCGGAGGCAGAGAGTGAGCCCGCTGCCCCCTCTAGTACACTGTAGTCTAGGCCTCTAGCCGGCTCTAGCCACATCCGCCTAACACGCTTCCTTGGCTAATGGCTGAATCGTACAAATTGCTACACAGTGCCTTTTAAAATAACTAACTTACAGACACGTAACAATTTTTATAACACGGAATACGCTGTGAACGCACGGTTAAAAGTGCGAAGTGTGAAAACCACGTGCAAACAACCTTTTTTTTTTGAGCTGCCATGACGACTCGCCATTGGCTCGCTGCAAGCTGAACGCAGCCGAGACAAGCTCCAGTGAGGTACTGCATTGTGCGCGGCGTGCTTAAATATCGTCGTGGGGTTTATATTGCTGCTGAAGCTGTGAAAGGTTGGTACTCTTCCTTTTTCAACTTCGAAATTTCGAATCCACCATAAGGTACGCAGTCTCGCGTTGTGAATAATGTGTTCGTGATTCATCCCAGCGCATGTCTACAAAGGACCCTTCTACTTTTCTCGTTCCTTTATTTGATCATGATAAGCTCATGGCCTCGCCCTTTGATCCAGGTGATTATGGGTGAAAAAAAAACGCTTGTGTCAAATAATAAAAAAAAACCCAATTGGTTGTCGTATCGCAGGCGGCTTTCCCTGTACACATTCTACTTGCGAGGGTTAGGCGTGACCTCCTCCATGAAAGTATAGAAGAACGTGGTTTTAATCAGAGAATAATCACTATACGCAGATATAGACTAATCAGCAAAGCATTGCATCAGTGACTCATAAATTGTTTGACCACCATGTTTATTTGTAGATGTCATTTGCGGTCGTCGACTTCTTTGACGTGGTGGAAGCTGAAGTTGTACTGGCGTTGTGGTTTGACGACGGTACATGCTGTTGGCCCTGCGCCAAACCTGATAGAAATGTCCAGCTAGCGAAAGCTTTGGCCAAGCCTTCGGCAGCGTGGGCGATATGTCCGGCCAAAGTGAAAG